GGAAAACCCGCCAGGAACATGACGAGAATCTTCGACACTTGCTCCAACGCTGCCGGGAGGTGAATCTACGACTTAACCCAAAGAAGATCCAATTTGCCAGGACGGAAGTCCGCTACCTTGGACAAGTGCTGACTGGAGATGGAGTGACTGTTGACCAAGAGAGAATGAAAGCCATACTGGAGGTCAATGAACCAAAAGATCGCAAGGAACTTCGAACATTTCTCGAAATGATCACCTACTTGTCGAGCTTCATACCACGACTTTCCGAGCGTGCGGCACCACTACGAGAACTGCTGAAGAAAAGGATCGCATGGGTATGGACGGGAGATCAACAAAGAAGTTTGGAAGACCTGCGAGACGCTTTGACAAAGGCACCAGTGATAGTCTTAGTACACTGCAGAAAAGCCCATTACGCTGTCAGTCGACGCAAGCCATTACGCAGTAGAGGCCGTTATCACCCAAGACGGAAGAACAATTGCTTACTCATCGAGATGTTTGACAGCCGCACAAAGGAAATATGCGCAGATCGAGAAAGAGATGCTGGCCATTGTTCATGGTTGCAACAAGTTCCACCATTACATATTCGGTCAAACAAACGTAACAGTAGAATCCGATCACAGGCCGTCACAGGCTACTTTCATGACACCGTTGCATCAGTGCCCGATGAGACTGCAGCGGATGAAGATGGCTCTCCAAAGATACTCCGTTGGAAGTAAAATTCATACCTGGAAAAGACTTGCAGCTAGCGGACGCACTGTCACGCTTTCCCACGAAGGAAACAATGCAAGAAGAGAAATTTTAAGTAAACGCACTGGAGCACATATCTGTCACACAAGATCGGCGAAATGAAATAAGAGACGCAACTGCAGCCGATGTCCAGATGCATCTACTGCGCGAGTATGCACAAACGTAATGGCCCGAACAGAAAGAGCAAGTTCCTCAACTCAGAAGGCCATTCTGGTCCTACAGAGAGGAGATCCACGAGGAAGACGGCCTTGTGCTGCGGTCAAACAAGATAATAATACCAACGGCCATCGGATTCAAGATTCTCAACTTGCTCCACACGGCACCCGCGGGCAAAAACAAAATGAAGAAAAGAACCGGAGAAATTTTTCTGGCCCGTAATCAACGCTGACATTGACCGCGAACATGACAGATGCAGCAAATGCGAGAAGTATAAATCAAGAAACGTCAAGATGCCACTCCTGAGCCACGCACTGCCAACGCTTCTTTGGTAGTTTGTCGGGACCGATTTCTTCACTCATGAAGGAAAAGACTACATACTCCTGGTGGATTTTTACTCATTTTATTTTGAGGTAGAAGAAATGAAAAGCACCACAGCTTCGAAGGTCAAAGAGTTCTGCCTTAAAGTATTCGCAACACATGGACTGCCGTTGAAAATTATAAGCGACAATGGCCCACCATTTGGCAGCCAGGAGTTCAAGCAGTTCTTGGAAAACCTCAAGATAGAGCAAGTTACATCAAGCCCCTAACACGCTCGATCAAATGGCATGGCTGCACGAGCCGTGAGACAGGCCAAACAACTCTTGCGAAAGAGTGCCAACAGTGAAGAGTTTTACTGCTCCCTCCTTGAGTAACGCAACACTCCACGAGACGATGTCCTCCAATGGCCAGTACAGAGACTGATGAGCCGAAACACAAGGACACTGTTACCTGCGCGATCGGAACATTACCTGCCCGCTGTTGTGCCACCCAAGGCTGTCACACGTCGTTTCACAGAAATTAGGCGGCAATAAAAGGCGAACTACGATAGAAACTCAAGAACGCTGCCAGACATTGACACGGGTTCTACAGTCACCGTCTACAACACCCTCCGGCGCACATGGTCACCTGCCATAGTCGTAGGACATCCAGTGCCGAGGTCCTACAACATTCCAGCCACAGAGGGTCAGGTCCGCCGAAGAACTTGTGAACACCTACGAATGACGTCGGAATATCGACGAGAGCTGACCTCCACGGGGAAAGAGACAGCCGGCACGGAACAGAATCCCAGTAACTTTGACCAGAGTCATCCTCACCCGGGACCGCAGCCGCGAAGAGGAACAAGGGAAAGAAGGCCACCGCAGCGATACCCCAACCATGTTGATGGTGACGCTCTACGCCGACTTTTCCAGAGAAAAGAGATGTAGTAACCAGCGATAGATGGCGCCACGCCTCTCTCAGTGGTGCCGCGGTTCGAGCACACGCGCGAGCGCGCGACATAAAAGATCATTCGTTCGAATCTCCTTTGCTGGCTGATGCGTATTGCTTCCTACAGGCGCGATGAGGCGACGGCGTTGAAGGGAGGAGACCTAAAATTATGAAGACGAATGGACCTCTTGACGCTAATAACATCAAGAAGAATGCACCCGACGGCCGGAGCGGCCTATCAAGTGACGACACGGCGGTTCTCCAGGCGGAAAATCAAAATGTGTGTGATGTCATGAACAACGACCAATGGAAATCAAAGTGTGTGTGTGTGTGTGTATGTGCGTGCGTGCGTGCGTGCGTGCCCGTGCGTGCGTGCGTGTGTGTGTGTGTGTGTGTGTGTGTGTGTGTGTGTGTGTGTGTGTGTGTGTGAAAGAGAAAGAGAGGGGGTCGAGGAGGTTCGTTATTGCGCTGGCCGCAGTGTGAAAGGGGAAAAACACGCAGCTATATGCAGGCCAAGGGAGGGATAGTGGAAAATCCCCTATTGTGAGTATATTGAGTGGAGCTAATCGTTGAGGAGTAATATCGAACAAAGCTCCTCCCCTTCCCGTCCGGTCGTTGCGGGTTCCGAAAAGTGTGACGATATCCATCTCTGAATGCCACCAAGGGAAGCCGTAATACGTCACCGGGGACGTCACCACACGAAAAAAAAAAGTTTAAGGGTTCCACCCACACTTAAAATATAATCCGTTACAAGTAACGAATTACTTGTAGGTTACTTTCTCAAGTGATTGTGTAATTGCCACGTTCCTTTTCTGTGGCACTAATTTGTAATGTAGGTGATATCGTTACAAAGTATTGGTAACTGATTACTTTAATTACTCGTTGCTTTTTAAAATTACGAACATTTTACAGAAACTGTAGTAATATGAGTGTGCGACCACCCGCTCGATGAAGCTGGAAAACGAGAGCCCAGGGATTTTTCAGCACAGCACGCAATTATAGTCCGTCAGTGAACATAAGGTTAGGGCGTAAAAGAGCTGGTGGTGGTTAAACATTTAAATGAAAAAGCCGTTTACAAAGCCATTTACAACTCCCTGTAACGCCGAATTAGAGCGCAGCTCTTGAGGAGAAGGAGGGAGGGGTACTGATGGGAGGGTATAGCCCTCGTCCTTCCTCCTCACGTCCTCATCCTGTCTGCTGTCTGCTACTCCTCCCTCCGAGCGGCGTCGCCGTCGCCTCACGAGGGTCACGTGACCCTTGTGAGGTCACGTGATGATGACGTCATTACGATGACGTCATCATCATCGTAATGACGTTATCAGTGACGTCACGTGACGACATCGTCACTGATGACGTTATCAGTAATGTCACCAGTGACGTCACGCGTCCCATAATGCACCGCGCGGTTACGCCGACGGCGACGGCGACGCCGCTCAAGCCGAAAACGGGCGCTTAAGAGCTGCGCTCTAAAACGCCGAGACTGGGACGAGAAGGGACGGACAAACACAAAGTCTCAATATGTTGAGCCTGTGTGTTTGTCCGTCTCTTCTCGTCCCAGTCTCGGGGTTTTTCGTCAAATAAGCTGCGGCTCACGCTTGAAAGGCCAGTTTCAAAAGAGAGCTTTCGCCAATCGGTTCCTTACCTCCAAATTTCGTAGCGGGAGGAGACGCTGCTACTGAGCATGCGCACCGCTAGCTTTGACCGCAGAATTGCAGGTATCATTTCCGGCTGCCGCAAGCTTGCGAGATGGCGTGTGTGGTTGCAGCTTTCGCTGCCTCGTCAGCTTGCAGGTGAACGGAGGGCACCTACAATCTTTCTCTTAATATTTTATTTTTACAAGGACTACCATTATGAGGGCGTTTGAGAAATGGAAAGTAGTGGTGCAGAACACTTTTGAAAACATCAAAATTGTTTCTATTGTTTCCACGATAAGTGTACGGGAAAAATAACGTCAAAATAATCTGTAATGGTAATTCATTACATTTCAGGCTCGGTAATTTGTAATTGTAATCTATTAGATTTTTCAAGTAACGAACACAACTCTGGTTCCACCTTCCGGAGAACGGATGTTGCGCTGCATTGGACCAAACTTTACAAATGCATCCCAGCTCATTCTACCAAATCCATGCTCAATGAGGTATTTTCTACCTTCGTTCATCCAAACCCCCAGTGCTTTGCCCTTATCCAATCTCCCCCCAACCGTAAATCTTTCCTTTGTTTTTTTTTCGTCATTGTCGAACAACTTTTGATTTTCCATTTTCCAGGTTATAAAACAGCGTGTTCCCGTAACCGAAGCAATCGAGCTCAAATCATACTGGAGCAGAACGAGATTCACATTTAGATTGTGTACAATTCAACAATCTACGCAATACGTCTGTGAATCATTTCGCTCCCAAAACTTAAAGACGAGAAAGGACCGGAAACAGCGTCTCACATTTGTAAAGCCGCGGACTCGCACCGCCGATACATCACACGAAAGACAGGCTATTCACTGCAGACGCGATGAAGGATATTACCTACGGATACGCATCAAGCATTTTCATATAGGCTTCGAACATGTCCGAGAGATTAGAGAGTTTTAGGGAACCGTTTTTGCACTTCCGATGCGGTACGATGGACCCTCCGGTACAACCTGCGCATGCGCTATCACAGAAGACTCACACATGCGCAATGCGTAACCGGAAGGGCCCGTCGCACCGTATCGGATGGGGCAAGAACGGTTCCCTAAAACTTTCCCTCGTGTCAGTCATAACGAGAAACAAAGGCGCCTGGGACAGTGGCTGCAGACAGTCTTTTGTATAGGATGCGTGAGCACCGCAAGGTGTGTGTGTGTGTACTGTTCCGCGCAGCGTCTGCAGAATCCCCCGAGGACACTCCATCGCGCATCTTGTCCGCCGTCTGGTGGATGGCGGTGATCGTCTTGATGAACGCCTTCACGGGACACATGCGGGCCTGCATGATGATCAAGTCCCAGACGGACACCATCGACTCCCTGGCCGAGCTGGTGACCAGGACACAGGTCAAGACCTACGTTTGGGGAGGCACCGCCTACGTCTTCTTGCTCAGGGTCAGCTATTTTGCAAATAGTGTGTATCGCATGGCTTCTCCTCGGCCAACACGACGATCAAAGATGATAGACAAAGGGTTGTTATCTGTTGCCTAAGCCTCCGCGCAACAGATTAGAGTGTCACTTGGCGGGCAATACGTGCAGAAATGACTAAGATAGTAAACGCGAAGGCAAAAAGACAAGATAGGTGAAATAGCACCAAAAAAGGCTGGCCAGGACAAGTAATTTATCATGACCCCGCTGCACACCTTCACGAAAAACGGGGTAAACGAAATTCTTTGTCTCTCTGCCCAGACATTTTTTTTAACGCATGACTTTCGTTTGCACGGAGATTTTTTTCCTCCTTGGCTGAATATGTTGACGTCTCTGTTTTCGGCTTCTCTCGGTCAGTTAGCATACGCCCCGGCCTCCTACAAATATTATGAAGTTGGAGGCTACAAAGACGAAATCTCTGCACGTGCCTGACGTATGTTTTACAGTCGGTGACAGACCAAGAATTGAGTAGACACCCCTCCACCAGCACGCGCTTCTGGCCTTCTGCCGTGCTTTGACTGCGCGTGCCGACAAAGTTCCGTCAAAAACAGAAAGCTGTAGCCGAAGACTAAACTTCAGGTGCGTCCACAGCAACCAAGACTACAGTAGCAACCGGGAAGCCGGCACAACCGTGACTCAATATTGCTTCACGAAGCCGCTCTTGCCGTTACTGGCTTCTGTGCGAGGAACATCTGTCCCGGCCCAGTGGCCATTACTGCCGTTTCGATCGTTCTGAACGCAACCAACGCAACTGTCTGAGCCAAGCTTAAAGGGGTCATGAAACGATATCGGGATGGGATGTTAATGGTTTTGCAGAGGCGTACTGGTCCTAGTCTGGCCCAAGTATTATCGCACAGACCGCCACTGATTCAAAAGCTTCTTTGTCGCGGTAAAATTGCGAGGATAAGAGGAGACTATTTCTTTCAGTCTTGCCTTCGGAAAGCTCGATGACGTAATTGTGGGATCAAAACCACCCGCCTGACGACGATCGGGTGCGGCTCATGGATTGGACACGAGAACTGCGTGAACACTCGACTACGGCTCGTAACAATCAATTCCTTTGCGGACATTCAAGTAGTGGCTCGTGTCCAAGCACTGCGGTGATGAGAATAGCCGAACACTCACAATCCCTGGAACTCAGCACGCGTTTTCTACTCAGCCGACCACAACGCTTGGCTATGATTAACGTTGGAGGCATAGGATAGACACCGGGTCACGTGGTCGCTTGATCTGGCTCCAAGTTGAAGGGATGAACGATGTTCATACTCCTCGAATTTTTGGCAATTGACATGACCCAGGCACGTAGCCAGGGAGGAGGGGGGGGTGGAGATGGGGCCCGGGCCCCCCCGAAATCTTCCATTTTGCTGGGACCTCCTCCCCCCCCTCCACCCTCCCCTTCATACAGCATTTTGTCATCAGCGGGCCCCCCCTCCAAAACAAAATCCTGGCTACGTGCCTGACATGACGTAATAGGAAGAAAAACCAAGGCAAGTTTTGTTTCATTTATTAACGTTAGGGAGTGATTCTAAGTGTATTTAGCTAAAGTAGAAACATCGTGTAATGACCCTTTTAACCGATTCTTGAATATGCCTCCGAGCTATGGGACCCTTACCAACAGTACCTCATCAACGACATAGAAAGTATTCAGAATAGGTCTGCCAGGTTCGTTCTTAACTCCTATAATTGGCGTCAAAGCGTGACCGCCTTAAAAGAGGAGCTCAAGTGGGAGCTTCTTCAAACTCGCCGTAAATGCCTTCGGTTAAAACTACTACACGCGATCCATTACGAACTCTCTGGAATTGATAAAGGAACATACTTACTTGAACCACATTTCATTTCCCAAAGACGTGATCACTCGAGGAAAATTAGACCTTTCTCATCCAAAACTGACATTTTTAAACATTCTTCCCGAGCACTATTCAGAGCTGGAATGAATTACCGGAGGAATTAGTGTTAGAGAAAAACAACTCAAGCATTTCTCAAGCTCTGCTTGGCCTTTAGCACTCAATGTATGCTGTCTTCGTTATGTGTTATTCCTTGTTACGTGTATATTGGTGCAACAATGACCGCGTTTCTCTGCGTTACATTTTCGCAGGACTGGTTTCATGTTGTTCTATGCCTTGCTGCAGGCTGCGAGTGCTTTTACTTAATGTTCCGTGACGCCCTTTGTTTTTCTTCTTTTTGCCCCTCCCCCACTATAATGCCTTCACGGGCGCTGTGGGGTACATGTAATAAATAAAAAACCATGTCAACGATATATAAATAAGAGTATGAATCAAATCGTATGAACCCGCTACATTTCCACGTGGACCCTATGCGGATGACCGTTCCCGTTTTGCGCACCGCTGCTCTTTGTACAAGGACAGCGGCGTATAGCCACACTCGGACAGTATGCGCCAGCAGCGAGTCTGTGCAGGACATGGGAACGCCAGAGTACCAGTCGATATGGAGGAGAGTCGAGCGTCATCGGTCTTTGCTCCCTACCGAGAAGCTGTACAGCAGGGACGTCCTCAATGAAGTGATGGAGGGCAAAGCGGTCATCCTCAGCGATCGGAGTTCCATCGTCTACAAGGTGCCTCATCGCCTCTGCCATCTAGAGAAGAAGAGTGTGCTTGACGTCAAAGCGCCAAGCTCTGATTGGAGGGATTAGTGGGTATACGTGCAAAGCCTAGCTGCCTTTGCCTCCACCCGCTCTTTCTCTCTCCAATCAGAGCGAACGAGAGCGTCATCCTCCTCACGTAGGGGCTGGCGTTGGGCGTTCAAACGCAATACCCTAAGCGAAAATGAGAGGAGGACGCTCTTGTCTGCTCTGCTTGTGTGTAAAGAAAACCGTAAAAGCGTGTAACCATTGCCTGGTTATAACATCGACACCGACAGAGTTGACGATTGTACTGTACATTATGCTCGTTTCCCTCAATGAAAGCAAAATAAACCTCACTAAACACGACATATTTAGCTTTTGATCAACCGCGAAAGGCGTAGCACATCGCTAATAGTATCATCACTAAACACTGTCAACTAATGAACCAAATACTTCGGAAGAAAATTTACCAAAAGGGTTCTTCCTCAGTCTTCGAAGCTAATAGCTTGATAACGGGCGAGGCATGTCAGTCGAAGCCTTCCTTGGAGAGGAATTACTAAAAGCAGGCTGCGCACAAATTACACTGATTTTTACAGACGGAGTATAGACAAATGCAGATATATAGAACAGAGCAATGCGCGGCGCTGTAATAATTGCTTCCCTGAAATGCGTATGGAAGAGTGTTTGATTTTAATTTGAACGTGTGTTTTTATGGCTTGTCTGGTGGAGACAACCGATTTCTGGTCATGCCCCACCAGGTGTCCCTCGTGTGCAAGGACTTCAAAGAGGGCGAGTTCTACTTGAGCCGGGAGGCAGTAACCCAGCATCCGTTCGTATGGCTCTACAACAAGCTGCTTGCGAAAGACCTGCGAGACGCCATCGATCATAAGTGAGGACTTCGTGCTGAGCGCCCTGCGTTTTTAGACACTCGCAGTTGGTAAAGCCAGTATTATATACCTTAAATTACGTCGCTAAGAGTACAAGTAATTATGTTGTGTTAATGAATAGCCAGTCATAATTAAGTTAGTCACCTACATTGGGCGTCTGGTGTCTTCGTCTTCGCTGTAGATGGGAAATTTTATCCGTGGATTCTAACGCTTACAAGAAATCGCAGTTGACACGTCCAAAATCCCAACCCGGTGAGCGCGCTCTCTGACACTTTGACCATCGGCAGACAAACAAAATGTGCGTGGAACCTACAAAACGTAACGACGACAGGGACCAGTTTTGGGGTCTCCTGCGCGGACTGCCAGCACGTGCGGCACGTAGGCGAAGATGCCTTCGGCAAGCCGCAATCACACGTGCTTTCTTCACGAGCCGAAATACGACAGCAGCCACAACGCCATGCTTTGCAGCGCAATGTGCGATGGAAACAATTTAGAAAATGAAGCTCGCCGCTTCGGTAAGCGAAGAAAGCACGCGCCAAACGTAGAAAACAAACGAACTGCCGCCTGCACATTGTAAAGAAACTTTGGATACAATGTCCGGTCAGCTCTACAGATGGAACCTGATAACGTACAATCTGAAATATGCTTTTAGAGCGCAGCTCTTAGGGGCCCGTTTCCAGCCTGAGCGGCGTCGCCGTCGCCGTCGGCGTCGGCGTAACCGCGCCCCTCCCCCTCCTCCTCCTCTCCTCCTCCTCCTCCCCCTCCTCCTCCTTCTCCTCCTCCTCCCATTGTGTAGTATGGTCCGGGCGGGTCACGTGACCTCGGGGGGAGGGGGACACATGACCCGTTTCCAGCCTGTGCGGCGTCGGCGTCGGCGTCGCCCCTCCCCCTCCTCCTCCTCCCCCTCCGCTCCTCCTCCTGCCCCCTCCTCCCCCGCCAAGGTCACGTGACCCCGGGGGGTGACCCCTCCCCCCGCCGAAGTCACGTGACGGCCCGCCCAAGGTCATGTGATCCCGTCCACTCGAGGTCACGTGACCCCCCGGACCTCTGCCTTCCTCCTCCTCCCCCTCCTCCTCCTCCCCTCATTGTCTAGTATGGTCCGGGGGGGTCACGTGACCTCGGGGGGAGGGGGTCACATGACTTCAGTGGGGCGAGGGGGGGAGGAGAGACGAGGAGGCGGAGGCGAGGGGAGGGGAGGAGCTTGAAGGACGAGGAGGTGGTAAAGGAGAGGGAGGGGGAGCAGGAGGGGAGGAGGACTAGCAGGCATGATCACGAGGGAGGAGGAGGAATATACCCTCCACTCCTCCTCCTCAAGAGCTGCGCTCCAATTCGGCGTTACAGGAAGTTGTAAACGGCTTTCACTTTTATGAGTAGGCTTCACCAATATTGCAACGTGCCCCTCCTAGTACTTATAACCTCCTTGTGTGCAAGGCAGTTTGGGAGGAATGGGACAGTGAGATGGCGGGATGAATGGGACAGCATCTCAGTCCACCCTTTATAATGATTGCTGCTGCTGACTGGTAAATCAACACTAAGGTTAACCTGTAATACTAGTGAATCATGCGATTTTAGTTCATACTCAATTTAAGCCACCAATTATTTGTTTTGTGTAAAATGTTACCACACTCTTAATCCCCGGTACCACAGACAATCGGAGGAAAAAAGACGACTGCAATCAGATTTCATGTTTGGTGAAGACCCGTCTGCCAATAATATTCTCTAGTAAAATTTTTAGCGTAATCTTCCATGTGTCCCATTCCTCCCTGGGGAGAGGGTGGAATGAAACACATTCTTGTTCTTGATTTTTTTATATATCACCTGGTTGAAATTGCTGCACCCGTGCTCTCTGACGGTACCTCATTCATTATTTTGTCATCCGCAAGCATGAATACTTCCTACTCTTGAAGAACATTCCTGATAAACGTACCTAACCTACTACAAAGTGGCATGTCACAGTTGGCAGGTTATTATTGCCCTGACAAACTGAAAACGGCAGGGCGCCTCTTTCGAACGCCCGGACTCCAGTATGTCCTCGTTGCTCACAAAGACGCCGAAGGATTGTCGGAGCATAGCCTCCTATATTGAGAAAGCTAGAAGAAAGTTAACGCCACAGAAAGAGATCGGTGGCCAGAGAGAATGCAGACGAAGACGGCTCTGGAAAGCTATAGATTAAACAAAACAGTTATTGCCAAAGAAAGCATTTATAACAATTCTAGGGGAAGCTCATTGTTGTTTAAGGCGAGGACGGGTGTTCTGCGAACCAGAACATACAGAACGAAGTACCAGGAAATGTATACAGTGTGCACTGCTTGTGAAGAGGAGGACGAGGCGGCTGAGCACTTGATGCTCTACTGTAAAGGGCTTCACCCTATGCCTACCGAAGACAACGTAGATCTAGAAAAGTCATTGGGTTTTAGAGACAGCGAAGGAATAGTAGATTTCAAGACAGTAGAGGTTACCAAGCAAAGATTAAGTGAATGGTGGCAGAAAGCGAGAGAAACCTAGGTATTTTCTTATTAACTGATGGGAAGGGGGTTTTATAGCCTCACGTTCTTTGCAGTGCGGAGTGAATATAGTTTTCACATTTAAATATTCTCATCTTAAATGGTAAAACAAAATGGCTAGGTGGCGTAAGCTACCGCCCGATCTAAAGGGTTCAGCCGGATTCATCCATCCATCCATCCAGTGGTAGCCTACCGCGAACCCAGTTTCCCACGCTTCTCGATGGGAGACATGTTTGTTCCTATTTTCTGGGTGCACCACGTCATGTAGAACTTGGCATTTGCACTAGTTGCTCAGACACAGCTTTGCCATATTGAAAGTCATTTTGTGTCTCAACGGCGGCAACAACAGTTTTATGAACACGTTGAAGCGAGAGATATCCGGGGTGGTCATCAAGCCAGCGTCCGTCAAAGTCAGAGCAAACGCGGCGAGCGGAAAGCGGGCCCGCCCAGGTGCCATGACAACGAGACACTTCTTAATGCGTTACATTAGTATCTACATGACAACGAAAAGCTGACGCCGTCCGTCTGCGAGCAAAACAGTGGTAAGGGAAGCACTCCGCTTAGAGGGGAGGAGAGCAATTAAGGACAAAGGCGTTAGGGAGGCGACGTCACGAGGCCGAAGCCAATGCGCGCGCGGGAAACCGGTGAGCAGCGAAAGCAGCGTCTGGCAGTGGATGCCGCTGCTAAGAATGTAAGGCGGGCGAAGCAGACAGAGGAGCGGAATCAGCACCTAGCTCGGCTGGCCGAAATGCGGCGCAAGAAGCCACAAGCCGAGGCCTGCTTGCGTGCGACAGAGGCTGGGGCAAAGTAATCTCGGCGAGCCCGCTTTGCCGGAAAAACATTAAAGGAAGATCCGTTGGTGGATCCTTAAGAAATGCGTTAGCATGACCCTTGGCAAACGCCACACGTCCCCCTTTGGAAAACGCCTACAGTGACCCCTTAACGAAGCCAAAAAGAGGAAGCAAACAAATAGAAGCAAAAGAGAAAGCCAAAACAGAAAAGTGAAGGGGTCAGCGTTAGCGTTTGCTAAAGGTGGACATGTGTGGCATCTCCCAAGGGTCATGCTCATGCATTTCCTAAGGACCCTCCAATGGATATTCCTTTATTTTTTTTTCTCAGTTGTGCCGCCGTGCCGCTAGAGACGCTGTCGTCATAGGCTACTCAAGCGCGCGCCAATAGGACTTATCTGATCCATCACGTCGCACCGTTCGCCGTGCTGCGTGTCCTCGACAAAAGAGTATCTTACACCTTGACCCCGGCGCTTCACAACCCTGCTCTGAACTCGCAGACTCGAGGCTCTGGTCGAAGGCGGCTTCACCCAGAGGTGGTGGGACCAGGGCGTGGGCACGTGGAGGGAGTGCGGAGGCTCCAGCGGCAGTCAGGAGGACGGCGATGACGTCACGACGTCCCACACCTCGCTCCAGTTCCAAGACCTGCGCGCTGTCTTCGTGCTGTGGCTGTGCTCAGTCTGCATCGCCACCGCCGTATTCGTCCTCGAAGGCTTGATGGGCGTAGTTTCGCGGAAATCGGGCTGTTGCCGTGACGCCCGTAAACGGGGTAAATCGAAGAAGGGACGCTTGGAATCGCTGGATTCATCGAAAGCACTACCGGCCGGCGTTTTCGAACCTCGTCAGCCGAAAAGAGATAACTAGGGAGTTGCGGCAAATCGTTCTGACAACTGCGATGAAGATACCGGATACTACGCTGGCGCCTTTGCGCATGCGTCGTGTCGTTATTGGCATCGTTATCGGAGGTATCAGAACTATCTACTGAAACTTAATCCTATTTAGTACGCGACACATCTGAGTATCGGCCCAAAAAAAAAGATATTTTGCAACGCAATAGTTGTAGCGAGTGAACACGATCTCGGCATGGTCAGAGTGGAAGTAGAGAAGTGTTTAAACGGCTCCTCCTCGCCATGAAACAACTGTAACAAAGTTTTGCTCGCATTTCTGACAAACGCCGTGAGATGGTGCGGCATGTCTAGGGTTAGAGAGTCGCTCGAGGAGTGGTCTTAAAAAGGCACTGAAGTCAATTCCGAGATCGTCGTTTTGTGGTGACAACTCAATCTAGACGCTCTAAGCATCCGAACAAACCCGAAGCCACAACCGTGCGTAGCTTATTTCCTCGTTAAAAGCGTGTTCAAAGATCGCGACACGCCCTTTTTGGGAAGAATTTTCTTCCGAGTGAAGTGGTCGCCAAGGGCCCTTGTCGGCGAGTTGCAAACGATGGCTTCGCCCGCGGAGAAAAAGAGGAGTCTTATCCGAATGTGTACCTATCAGACTTTCTTCGAAACGAGTTACAATAAAATCAGTCGGAACCTGCGCGTATTGTAGGGCTTTCATTGTTCCAGACAATGTAGACCGCGAGAAAAAAAGAGTCCGTATGATTTTAGTGCCCTGAAATGAATAGGCGGTTTTGTAATGTAAGACTTGGTATACGTGGGAACTAACACATTTTGAAGAATATAAGATCAAAAACGACCTTTGTCAAAAATGACTTTACTGCCTTTTTAACTCGTGCACCCCTTAAGAAGGCCCCCCATGTTACTCATGCGACGCGCTACGCGCGTGGTTTTGTACGCAGAATTCCAGCACCATAAACCGACAGTGCCCCTGCCGGGAGACGCCCGAAGCCCGAACCATCTTTTGCCGGCTTGCCTGGCCTTGTTTAAACACCTCTGTATTCTTCCACCGCTGTCGTGGTAAATCACAACTACACTTGTACTACACAAGACCAGAATTAAACAATGTTAGTGATGGAATTTGAGTTTTTGCAGTAGCTTCGGTAGCAGGCAATGTATATGCTTAGAGCAGCCGCCGATGCTTTTGGAGCAGGTGCCAACGTCTTTTAGCACATCACGTGAAAATGAAAAGAAATTGATTGAGTCATTAAATTAGCTCATCTTTGATGACTGGGGTTTTTTCTCTGGTACTGGAGCTACGTTTTACCTTTTCTAATGGGAATAGATAGGGGGGGGGGGGGGATAGGGACACAGAACCTGCTTTTCTTTAGAAATAAGGTTCTGGTCAGTGTAAATCCCATTTACACTGGGTACTAAAACAAAACAAAAGAAGGGGGCTGTAAAACTCGAGAGCGCGCAGTGTAAGGTGTCAAGTATGGTATTCGCAACTATACAGCTAGCTAAAGGTTCCCTATTCAATAAAGAAGGTAGCATTGAAGAGGTCGTACGCTCTGCCGGCTCAACAACGCCAGAACACGTTAAAACAATTTTTTTTTAGAAACTTTTTTGAAATTATGAGTATGACGTCTTGTATATTCAAAATAAAATCGTTCCTTATGTTTCTTAACTCTATCGGATCCAAACGCTGTTGGTACCTGAGTGAAGTCAAAGTTCGCTGCTCTTTCTATCGACAGCTGCACGTAAACTACCTTGCTACTGTATTTATTCAAAAAATAGATCCGCGGTTGTTGTTGTTGCTTGTTTTTTTAATTATGTTTTGCTCGGCGCTTCTTTTTTCTTTTTATTTATAATAAAGACCAAAGAAAATACACCTGGAATAGTACTAAGCACAATTTCCGATCCTATCGCGTTAACCCAGGTGCTCACCCATGTCGGCCGCTGCTCCTAGCACTCTGGTGCAAAGCGATGAAGCTCGACGTACGCGCGCTGGTAAGAGGCACCACGGAGGCACGCGAAGGGCACTCATGATAACCAAGCGATCTCATCTTAAGTACAAGACCCTGGTTCTGTCTCATCACAATAGCCGCCAAGCCATCCTACTATTTTGCAATGTTTTCTCGCGACTTGTAGCTCCCGGAATCGCCGACAACGTCTGGAAAGTTATACAATGTCAGCGATAAACCATCAACCAGCCAGCGAAACATCATGGCATTTGTCCGTCTTCCTGCACATGTTCATTGACTAAACCAATGGGGTGCGGAAAATGTCCCGCGAAGTGACTTGCGCTTTTGGTTTGTGTCTTCGTGGTTTTTTTGTGTTCGAGCCTTCGATTGTGCTTTGACCTAAGTTGAAACAAACTACGGTGAGTAGAGACGCTGTACGTGGGATACATATTTGTACAATTTTCCTGTCCTCTATACCTCTCTGAGCATTAGGGCCGACCAATAATAAAAGTTTTTTTTTTTTTTTTTGCTTTGCTTACGCCTATTTAGGCGCCGGTATGACGCAATTATCAAAAATGGCACTTTGGCACAAGATGTAGCAGACTTTCGTTCACCGCGCTATTTGGCGCAAATGGCACAGCGTTTCCATCACTGCAATCTACTCTCTCCTATATATGATACAAAGATCAAAGGGCAACAAATCACCTTGGGGCAGTGGCGTCTGGTCGAGGTATGTTTATGTGTGTGTGGGGGGGGGGGGGGGGGGTTGGGGGGGGAGAGGGGAGGGGGTATGGGGCTGAAGCTTTCCCCTGAAAAGTATTGGCGACACCACTGCCTGCTACTTAGAGCCATTCACTCGCAGGTAGCCCACACATTGCACATGGTGGTGTTGTGTCTTCCTCTTCGTGATTGTCAATAAACAACTATTCACTCTCTCTCTCTTTCTCTCTCTCGTTTTATGCAGCTTCTCTCATTTGCTGTTTGAATGCGACTAACTTATCGCAGTTCGCCATGGCACAGGGTGCCGAGAAGTGTACGTCTGCAGCTGTAAGCAGAGAAAGCGGCTAGCAACTGACCTGACGACGATTAAGTGGCATGATTTTTATGACCCATAATAGAACCACAATATGCGTGCAGTGTCCGCGTGCGAGCAAACCCTGTGAATTAAATATCGAATTGACGAACATGGATACTATTATATTTTCCCCGCTAAAATTAGTAGAAAAAATTGTCCGGTAACGGGAAAATTTCCCCGCTAATCTTAGTGGGGAATTTTTTCCGCTGAATTCAGCGGGAAATGTGGCGAAAATTTACCAGCTAAATGGAAGCAGGAGAGGAGGAGGGGAAGAGAAAAAGGAGGGGCATACCCTCCCCTCTATACCCTTCCCCCCTCCTCCTCAAGAGCTGCGCTCTAATTTCGCATTACAGTGATTTGTAAACCAAAAGTAGGATTTTTTTCCTTCGCCTATTTTCTAACCCTCTGCAATTTTGTAACTATGACCAGACGGTGTTCGGTGCCACCAGGATGACCTTTGGGGAATTGGGCAAAAAAAAACAAAAAATTTCACTCCCCACCTTTTTCCCCCAGCGAGGGAGTCGCCAATTTTCCTCTGGTCAAACCTAGGCGGCGTTGCCCTGGAACTGGGCCAACTGGAGGACAGGGTGGAGACTTTCGGCCGGTGCCACGCGGGAGGGAGTCCCAATTTTCCTCTGTCCCACCTATCCCCAGCTGTGTCAGTTAGTTGTATGTCATTCAATTCTCTCTAGATAATTTCCACCACTCTTCCAATCTCCTCTTTGTTATTAAAAAGTACTCATCATCCATTCTTCCATTATTGTCTGCAAGGCCCAGCGCTCCGGTTAAATGCGTCGCCCCCTCCGGGAGGGCATGGAGTAAACGCTGTGCACCTCAACACCACATGTTCTACTGTCTCGTCTTCCCTTTAGCATACAGCACACCGCGTATCCATTTCCCAGCACTTTGTCCTATGTGTCCTAGCATGGGCGTGCCCATGCTTGTAATCGGAGGCTGGGGCCGACGAATCACAGATTGAAACCACGACGCACTTCTTTCTGAATGAGCTCTATAACACGCAGCACGATCCCGCCAAATCTAACGCAAGATTTCTTCAATGCAGCACCCTCGGTAAAATAAAAACGACGATCGTCAACGGGTTCACAATTGCATAGCAAATTGAGAGTAAAGTTAAGGTAGTATATGTGGCTTACTTTCTATTCTGCTTGAGATTTTTGGTTAACTGTTTGAAGGATTACATATTTCTTTTAGATTGCAATTTAGAATAAAAAAAACGTTAATGTCTATACGTCTCCAGAGGTTATATCCATGGTTTCACTGCAGTGTCTATACAAAAATAGGCTTGAAGGGCATCCGGTCACAGCGCCACACCTTGTAACACCGATAGCGGACCCGCGCAACGTTGGTTTGGGTCAGTGTTGGACAAAACACCTGACAAAAGTTTTTAAGTTAAGTTAATAAATACCTGCTTCACAAAGTATTTAAAATACTACTCAAGTTACTTTCACTGTGAAGTATCTTGAGTAGAGTACAAATGCTTAAAAACGTAATTACGTAATTCAATTACTTTTGAAGATTGCCACATTGCATAATCTGTATCAAGTCAAAAATAAACACAATTATACAGTTGCACAAATCTGGTGTACCAGAATGGTTTATTAGCACTCAACTTCACACACAAAAAAAAGTCGTGTGGCTATTTTATACAGTCCAACTATTCGCAACTTTTAGCGATGGTGGTACAGTGGTGTGAGAATCGCGCTCCCTAGCCCCTGGATCATTGGCATCGTAATAAATGGGCTTGCCTAGACCTTCCTGACATTAACAAAAAAAGTAAGCCTCTGATACTGCTTGTCAATAGCAAAACTGAAATTGCTTACCCGTCGCAGACCCAGCCTCCGACTGCTGTTCTACCACAATCATCCAAATGACGGCCATTTTTATAGGCACCAGTGCGCCCCCTATAGGTTGTGAAAATTGCGAATAAGGAGCCTAGGGTACCACTGATGCATGTTACAAAACATTTCT